GAAGGCACTGAATGACAGCTCAGGGCCATTTAAATATCCCGCCCTGCGACTGTCATTGGTGCCAAGCGCGCGCCCGCGGCTCTCTACTGCGCATGCGCGGGGCTCGAACACCGCGGACAGCCAGGATCTAGTGTCCGCGTCCCTGCACAGGGCAGCGCACTGCGCCTGCGCTGGGACCAGCGCCGCGGTGATCCCCGACATTGCCCCCCTACGGGCAACCTCCGGATGCCCACCCGGTCTCTCCACCACGGGTGATCACGAAGAAACCCCCGGAAGAAGTCTAGGTGCATAATAACATTTTGCGTTGGTTCCCAGGAATTGTCCTCCGGGCCATAGCCCTTCCACTTAATTAGAAATTGGGTCTGGCCCCCTCCTTCGGCACTTCAGGATCGCTTCCACCTCAAATTCTTCTTGTTCTTCACAAGTTATGGCCTCGGAGGTCTGGACTCTCGATCTGGAAATGAATCTGGAACCACTGGCTTTAGCAAGGATACGTGGAATACTGGATGGATCTTGAATGTTTCAGGAAGAATAAGCTCATATGCCACCCTCGTTGATCATTCGCTTCACACAAAAAGGCCCTACAAACTTTGGTCCTAATTTCTTCGATGGACATAACATTTTCAAGTTCGTTGTTGCCACACACCACTTTATCCCCGGGCTGCAGCACAGGTCCCCTCTTCGTCTTTTGTTAACGCCTTCTTGTAGTCTCCTGGGCCCGAGCGATAGCGTCCTGCAGTACTTTATTGTTGGATGGAGAAGAAAGCTAGTGCGTCTTGTGTTGCCGGAACTGGGCATTCAGGAACCAAGTCAGGGGAGAAAGACAGGGTGAAATCCGTAGATTTGAAAAAAAACTGGCGATTGCCCAGTTGCAGAATGGTTTGCGTTGTTGTATGCAAACTCTGCCAAGGGTAAGAGTGGTAGCCAATTATCCTGTAGGAAGGATGTGTAGCAACAACGCAGGTATAGGTTTCCAAGGGGTCTGGTTGGTCCTCTCGGTCTGTCCATTGGTCTGAGGGTGGAATGCAGAGGAGAGGGATAATTTGATATCCAAAGCCTTGCCACAGTGCCCTCCAAAATTTAGACGTGAATTGGACCCCTCGATCCGAGACAATGTCCTCTGGGACTCCATGTAGTCTTACAACTTCCTGGATAAAAATTTGCGCAGTCTCGGATGCTGACGGAGTTTTTCTTCAATGGTAAGAAGTGAGCTATTTTTTGACAATCGATCAATGACCACAAGGATCTGCGGTGTGGTCTTGAGACGGTGGGAGCCTCGACTATAAAGTCCATTGCGATCCTTTGCCAAGGCCGTTCAGGGATCGGCAAGGGCCGCAGCAGTCCCCAAGCCTTGTTCCTCGATGGCTTGTTCTTCTGACAGATGGTGCAGGATTTTACGTAGAGCTTGCAGTCCTTGGCCATGTTCGGCCACCAAAAAGAACGTTGAAGAAGCTTCCAGGGTCTTTGCTGGGCCAAAGTGTCCAGCCATTGGATGGTCATGACACCCCCTGTCCCAAGACAAGGGTTCGGACCTCCTCAGGTAACCATGATCAATCCTTCCCTTCCATAGGAGTCCCCCCTTGTTCTGGAGGGATACCCCAGCTGGGGTTGCTGTGGCCGTGGATGCATCCATTAGTTTGGACCGAAGGTCTGTCTGGAGTGCCAAGAAATTTCCTGAGGACAGAATAGTATCGGGTACCTGGTTCTTCTTTGGCGTCCTCGAACATGCGTGATAGTGCATCGGGTTTCGTATTTTTGGACCCCGGTCTGTAAGTGATATGGAATGTGAATCTGGAGAAAAACAGTGCCCATCTTGCCTGCCGCGGGTGTAACCGTTGGCAGTTCTCAGGTACTCGAGGTTTTTATGATCAGTGAAGATCAAGATGGGGTGTGAGGCTCCTTCCAGCAAGTACCTCCATTCTTCCAGTGCAGTTTTGATGGCTAGCAACTCCCGATCGCCGATATCGTAGTTCTTCTCGGCTGGGGTAAGCTTCCTCGAGAAGAACGCTATGGGATGGAGTAATTCTTTGGTGCCTTTTCGCTGGGACAGAATGGAACCCACCGCATTCTCAGATGCATCTACCTCCAGTACGTAGGGCAGGGAAGCGTCTGGATGGGCCCAAAATGGGTGCCGTGGTAAATAGTTTTTTCAAGGCCTCAAAGGCTTCCTGAGCCTCCGGCGTCCATCTGAGGGGTTCCAAGTTTGGTTAGCTGAGTTATGGGGGAGACCAGACCCGAGAAGTTCCTAATGAATTTTCGATAAAATTTGCAAAGCCGATAAAACGCTGGATGCCCTTTTTGTCCGTGGGCACAGGCCAATCCAAAATTGCAGAGACCTTCTGAGGGTCCATCGCAACTCCCGTGGTGGAGATAATCAGACCCAGAAACGTAATGCTAGACTGCTCGAAACTGCAGTTATCTGCTTTGGCGTATAAACCCATGATGGCGCAACCGCCCCAACACCCTTGCCACATGTATTCTGTGATCCTTCAGGGAGGGATGAGAAGATCAGTATATCATCTAGGTAAACAATTACAAAAATGTCAAGGTAATCCCGGAAAATGTCGTTTACAAAATGTTGGAATGTGGCTGGGGCATTGCACAGCCCCAAATGGCATTACCAGATATTTCGAAATGCCCAAACCGGGTACGGAATGCTGTCTTCCACTCATCCCCTCCCTTATGCAAACCAAGTTGTAGGCCCCCCTGAGATCAAGTTTAGTAAATATGGCCGCAGCCTTTAGGCTCTGAAATAATTCTGGTACCAGTGGCAATGGGTAACGATTTTTAATCGTGACTCTGTTCAGTTCACGATAGTCAATGCAGGGTCGCAGAGATTTGTCTTTTTTTCTCCACAAAGAAGATCCCTGTCCCGGCTGGTGAAGTGGAGGGATGGATGAACCCTTCTGGAGACTGTCCTCTATATATTCCTTCAGGGCCCCCAATTCCAGTTCAGACAGGGAATAAAATCCACCCAAAAGGGATCTCAGAACCGGGCAACAGATCAATCGGACAGTCATACGGGCGGTGGGGGGGCAAGGTATCTGCCCCCGCTTACTGAATACGTCTAAGAAATCATGGTATGCTGTGGGAATAACCTGTTTCAGATCGGAGTCCCCCTCGGAGCACAGGAGGACCTGGGGGGCTGCCGGGCCCGAAGTGTGACAGTGTTCCGACAATATGGGAAAGGGAACAGGATAGACCCGGTTTTCCAGTCAATTTGGGGGTTATGGGCCCGCAACCAAGGGAGCCCCAAAATGACTGGGAAAAAGAGGTGACACAATGGCATCTAGGCGGAGGAATTCCTGATGCTGGTTAGCAATGGTAGTGGCGATATGGGGGGAGTTTCCTGATTAACTACTCCTGATTTTATCTGGGAACCATCTGCCAGAAAATATGTTAAAGCCCCGTTTTCTGGGCTGAAGGGGAATCATCTGCTGGTGAGCAAAATCTAGATCCAGGAAACAGCTGCATGCCCCTGAATCAACTATGGCTGTCACTTCCACGGTCCTTTCTGGAAGCTGAAAGGAGTGAGGGGCACAACTAAGTATTGGGAAGGACTGATATTGCCAAAAGCCAGGGAAGAAAAAGAGGTACACTTACTCGTTTTCTGAGGGCAGGATCGTTACCATATGATCAGCTTCACCGCAGTAGAGGCAGAGGTTCAGAGAGTGTCTCCGCTGGCGTTCTTCTGGCGATAATTTAGGCCGAGCCAGGCCTAGTTGCATTGGTTCCTGCGCATCTCCTGGAGGTGGGTTCTGGATATTTGATCTGGTTAGTTGGCTGGGGCCTGGAATTGGACCTCATGCATTTCCGTGACCCTGACCGGACCTCTCAAACCTGCGTTCCCGCAGTCTACGGTCTATTTGAATCGTCAGGGCTATTAGGTCCTCTAGTGACTCGGGAACCCCCACTCGGGCCAGCTCATCCTTTAGGGGCTCTGACAGACCCATACAGAACTGGTGTCTCAAAGCGAACTCGTTCCAGCGTGTGTCCCCCATCCAACACCTAAATTCAGAGGCGTATTCTTCTGCCGCCCGGCGGCCATGTCGGAGCGTGTATAACGTTGCTTCAGCAGAGGCTGCCCACTGTGGATCATCATAAAGGATGGCCATAGCTTCAAAAAAATCACTGACCGTTCCCAGGTGAGGGTCATGGTTTGCCCTTAACCGGTGGGCCCAATCTTGGGGTTCACCCTGCAATAGTGAAATTATAAATCCCACTTTCACTGACTCCGTTAGGAAGGTGCGGGGTTGCAATTCAAAAAACAGGAGGCAGGAATCCCCGAAAAGACCGAAGCGCGTGCGGTCCCCGTGAAAATGTTCAGGTAAGGGTACTCGGGGTTCTACCATAGGTAGCGGAGCAGAAGCCCCTGAAGCTGGCCCATGAGCTTCTCCCAACCAGGGGAGCGGAAACAGGGGCCTGTGGGGCAGGGTCAGATATGGAGCAGGTCTGGAAACGGTTTTCCAGCTGCATACATTTGTCCTGGAGTGCCGCGACGGCCTGCGTCAAGGTTGACAGATGCCTGCAAATGTCTTCCAGCGGAGAGGACCCTCCTCCAGGCTCAGTCATGGCCTTCTGGTACTGTAAGGGACCGCCTGGCGGTACCACTAGCACTCCGCTGGTCAGACGTCCCCAGCACACGGAATCTAAGCCCCAGGGTACGTGTTCACCAGGGCCCCTGATGGTGGGGATGGACTTGAAGTACCCTGAGACCAGGTCGTGGCTACTGATACACCTGTCAGTGGTAGCAGTATTCGCCAGCGGCTCCCACAGGGAAGAGCCTGATATGAGGAGGTCGGGTGTGATCCCGTTGGGATGGATGGATGGATGGCTGAGCAAGTGCAAGGTCAAACAGGCCGGGTCGGTAACTGAGGGGATGGAGCGGTACAAAGCAGCGGGCAGAGAGTAGTCGGGTCACACGCCAGGTCAGCAACGGAAGGTCAGATCTAAACGGGGGCATTCAGGAGAGAGGTCAGGCAAAGCAAGGGTCTGGGCAGGAGAAGGCAACAAGGTCAGGTACAATCCGGGTCAGTAACTCACTTAGCACAGGTTTGCAGATACAGGATACAAGGAAAGACCAGAAGGCACTGAATGACAGCTCAGGGCCATTTAAATATCCCGCCCTGCGCTGTCATTGGTGCCAAGCACATGCCCGCGGCCTCTACTGCGCATGCGCGGGGCTCGAACGCCACGGACGGCCAGGACCTAGTGCCTGTGTCCCTGCACAGGGCAGCGCACTGCGCCGGGACCAGCGCCGCAGCGATCCCCGACAGGCTCATTGTTGGAGGTGGGGAAGGAAGATTCATTGATGGAGGGTGGGAAGGGAAGGCTCATTGATGGATGTGGAGAGGAAAGGCTCATTGATGGAGGAGGGGTAAGGAAGGCTCACTAATGGAGATGGGGAAAGAAGACTCATTGATGGAGTGGCAAAAAATAAAGATAATCGAAATTACAAGCAGGTGACGCATTGAAACCTGATACAGCCTGTTAACACCTGTTACAGAATGGTTTTGGAAGCCATGGGAAGCTATCAGCTGATCCAAGGAAGAAGTGTAGATAGAGAATAGGAGAGGTCCAAGGACAGAACCTTGGGGACCATGACAGTAAGACGAGTAGGAGAGGAGGAAGTAGAGTTGTAAGTGACACTGAAGGGGCAGTTACATAGGTAATATTCGAACCAATGGAGAGTGCGGTCATGGAGACCAAGTAAATAGAAGTTTTTGAGGGGGAGGGGATGGTCAACTGTGTCAAAGGCAGCTGAGAGGTCCAAGACTATGAGTATGGAATAGTGACCATTGATTTTAGGGGTTAGTAAGTAGTTTCAGAGTTTTAGGAGAACAGTTTCTGTGGAGTGTGGGTGGGCAAAATCCAGACTGAAGGGGATCAAGAAGGTTATTCACAATAAGGTGGCAGCTCAGCCGGTTGTAGACTAGATGTTCAAGGAGTTTGAAGGCAAAAGGGAGTAAGGAGATGGGTCTTAGGTTGCTAAGATTGGTGGGGTCTAGTGAGGCCTTTTTAAGTATGGGGGTGGCTAGAGCATGTTTTAGAGAGTTGGGGAAGATGCCAGAAGAGAGGGAGAGATTGAAGATATGAGTTAAAGAATGAAGGATGGAGCCAGAGGGTGACTGTAGTACTTGTGAGGGAGCAGGGTCCAGGAGGCAGATGGTTAGGTGGGCTTTAGAAAAAAGTTTACCAACCTCCTCTATAAATTCAGTATATATCCCACAATCTGTAGACGCTGTAACTTTCACACAAACCAATTAATATACACTTATTGGAATTTTTTTTTTTTACAAAGACATTTAGCAGAATACATTTTGGCCTAAGTGTACGACTACATTTGAGTTTATTGGATATTTTTTAGAATGTAGAAAATATTGTTTTTTTCAACATTTTTGATCTTTTTTGGAGGCACTTCCGCCAGTATCCTTTTTAGGCATGTTTGTTTGCGCAAAAAACACACACACAAGCATGTTGCCTATCATATTTCTTGAAGTGCTAAAATTCCAGGCAGTAAAAGAGAAAAAAACCAAAATGACCCATTTTTGGAAAGTAGACACCTCAAGGAATTTGCCCCAGGCATGTTGAGTCCATGGAAGATTTTATTTTTTGTGCCACACATTTTTGGAAAATGACAAAAAGTTTTGTTTTTTTTAACACAAAGTTGTCACTTAAATGATATATTGCTCACATATGTCATGGGAATATGTGGAATAACACCCCAAAACGCATTCTGGTCCAAACTGGACCACTGTAACTATGCTAAAAATATACAGTATCATGCTGATTCTTCTGACTGTGGCTTGTGTCTTCACATTTAGGGCTGCGGGTGTGGCCTTCAAACTGTGCCTCCACAGGCCAATTTTCCCCCTCCATACCTAAGACCTGAAGTTCTAATTATTTTTTAAATATGACTTGAGTCTCCACTTTTAAGGCTTGTTGGTGCTGCTGTCAAAAATAGTGACATTTTGTATCCATTCAAACCTAAGGGATGAAGCGTTAATGATTTTTAGGAAGACCCAACTGTGACTTCTGTTTCTGTATTTTGGCCAGTTTGGCTACCAAACTGGGGTGACCCTGGACCAGAGGTGTAGCTAGGATATTTTGTGCCCAGGGACGAATGGCCACTTCATGACACCCCCCCCCCCCCGCTTCATATGGTCCCTATAGAAACCCCCTGTCCCATCCCGATCACATTGCCCCTCCCCTTCATCCATGCTCTACTCACTCGGCTCGGCTCGGCTCGGCTTGGCTCTCCCCTCGTCCCCTCCGGCACATGTCCAGCTCACTGCCCTCCTCTCCGCTCCTCTTCCGTCCGGCTCCTCTCTCCTCTCATAACTCACTGTGGATGGCAAATGTATCAGATGACACATCTGCAGCAGTCGCTGCAGTGATCTTGTGACCTCATTTTGGCGCCCGGGTACATATGTACCCCCTGCCCCCCCCCTAGCTACGCCTCTGCCCTGGACAGTTGTACCCAACCAAAGCTAAGGGTTCTAGATCTTTACTGACTATCCACTGTGCAATCCAACAAAGTTTTAAAAGGGCAACACTTATAAAATGTAACTACAAAATGATGGAAGCTAAAAGAAAAGCCGTGTTCCTTTTGTAGTGTGTTAGGTCCCTCTGTCCACTAACCAAGAAGTAATAGAGGTGATAAAACTATAAAAATACTTACAGTGGATTTTAAATTCAAATGCTGAAGATTGTACTCAGTTATGGAAAAGGGGCTCTCAAGGGGTTATAAATTACATCTTAAGAGACCTTTAATGAGGATTTCAGCTTTGTGTTCCTACAACACAACAGACTGTCCTGAGGGAATGCCGACATTTTATATAAGAATTAGTAATTATCTGGTACAAATGTCTCCAGGTGAACCTGAGTATCATGTGCAGGCACAACATACATTTCTTCCTCTTGATAAATCCTCAGATTGATCATTTTATGACTCTTTATGCTGATAAATTTAAACAAAGATTACCTCTTGTGGGTCCATCAGACCATCCACTGACCACGAATGCACTTTGTGTGCTCTTCCATCTGATCTCTCTGATGACTGTGGGACTGCCAACATTTTATTTGAGAATAAACCTGAGTGTAATGTGTAGGCACTCCCGTACAGGTTTGTTCTATTAATAAATCCTCAGATCCATAATTTTATTACCGTTCTATAGTGATACATAAAACAGAGAGAAAGAAAAAATGAATAATATGAGGAATCAGACAGAGATTACGTCTCTCACTCTTGTGGGTCTATCAGACCATCCACTGACCATGAATGCACTTTTTGGGCTTTTCCTTCTGATCTATCTGATGACTCTTATCACAAACCTTCTTATATTTTTCTTGGTCCTCACTGACACCATCTGCACAACCCAATGTATTTTTTTCTTGCCAACTTGGCATTTCTGGACATGTCCTATTCATCAGTGACCGCACCGAGGATGCTCTATGACTTGGTCACAAAAACACGATCAATATCCATTCCTGCCTGTACAGCCCAAGTCTTTTTCTATCTCTGCTTTGCTTGTTCGGAATCATTATTACTCTCGGCTATGTCCTACGACCGCTACATTGCCATCTGCCGCCCCCTACATTACAAACTAATGATGTCTTGGAGGGTCTGTGCTTGTATGGCCTCCATGGTCTGGGTTGCAGGATGTTCTGTCTCTTTGCTCCATACTTTACTGTTGCTCAGGTTGTCCTTCTGCGGACCAGCTTCAATCCACAACTTCTTTTGTGACCTTCCACATGTGATTCAAATTACATGTACTGACCCCTTCATAAAATGGTGGCCATATTCTTAGCAGGTACTATTTTTGGATTAGGAGTCATTCCTATGACCTTTCTTCCATATTTCTATATTTTCAGTACCATCCTCAGGATCCGTAGTAAGACTGGAAAGAGGAAAGCATTCTCCACCTGCACCTCACACCTCACCGTGGTCTCCATCTTTTATGGAGCGTTAACTTTTATTTACTTTGTTCCATCTTCCAGCGATATGATAATTTTAAAAATAAACTGTTTACCGTCATATCTGCCCTCATTAACCCATTGCTGAATCCTCTGATCTACAGCCTGAGGAACAAAGATCTCAAGGAGGCACTTAGGAGGTCCTATCAGCACTTGAGGTTGATCCAGGCGTCATTCTGAAATGTGACACTTTTTGTATTCTTGGGACATTTGTAGTTGACTAAAAATGTTATTAATGTATTTCATAAAAATGTAAACCTGTCGGGGGATCATTGTTGTACTCACCCTTGCATGACCAGTTGTTCCTTGTAACCCCCACAGACCAAATATAGACATTTCTGTAGACTTTGGTTCACTTCAAAATAACTATGTGTCTATTTTTCTTACCATAATTTTTACATAGATCTTTATGTATCTATAAGACCTTTAATGCCCCCCCCCCCCCCCCCCCCCCCCCCCCCGACCAGGCCATTTTTTTGCATTACAGCGCTGCATTACTTTAACTGGCAATTGTGCGGTCATGCAATGCTGCACCCAAACGAAATTTACATCCATTTTTCCCATGAATTGAGCTGTCTTTCGGTGGTTTTGATCGCCTCTGCAATTGTGCTTTAAAAAAAAAAAAAACGACAATTTGAAAAAAAAAAAACAATATTTTTCACTTTTTGCTATTAAACGTGTCCAGTAAAAAAATGTAAAAAATCTAATTTCATCATAAATTTAGGCCAAAATGTCTCCCGCTCCGTGTCTTCACTAAAAAAAATCTCTTTACGTTTAAATTAATTGGTTTACGTGACAGTTATAGCGTCTGCAAATGGCGGTATAGATACTGGGATTCTTTTTTTACTAGTAATGCCAGCAATCAGGGACTTATAGCGGGACTGCGGCGGGCATTCTGACACTGGGGGGGGACTGACTTAGTGTCACTGATATCCCCAGTGACACCACTACAGTGATCAGTGCTAATAGAAAGCACTGACACTGTACTAATGACACTGAGCAGGAAGGAGTTAACATCTGGGGCAGTCAAAGGGTTACC